CCTGTAACGTTTTTAAAACAATAGCAACATTATGTTTGACCTCTGTATACGAACTACCTAAAATTAAAATATCATCTAAATAAATAAGGCATAAAATACCCTGCCTTCTAAAAAAATTAAATACGGGTTTAAGAAGCTTGGTAAACACATACGGTGCAGTAGCTAAACCCATGGGTAAACAATTAAATTGATATACTTGATTATTAAATTTAAAACTGAGAAATTGTCTATGTTTTTTATATATGGGTACCATATAATAGGCATCTTTCAGGTCGATTGTAGCCATATAACATTTCTTTGTAATTAAATCTTTAACTGATTTATAATTGTCTAATTTAAAATGAGGAGGAGATATGAATCTATTTAGACCTTTTAGATTAAGAATAAACCTACTAGTTCCATCAGATTTGGGAACTAAGAAAAATGAGGAAAAAAAATGTGTTTTCGATCTCATACAATTACTTATAATGCCTTTTTTAAGTAAATCTGATATAATAGGCGTCATCTGTTTTATTTCACCTTCTAGTAGTTTCTTATTGACGTACCTATATTGACAAGGATTTTTAATAAAAGGTATTTTATAACCTTTAACCCAAGACCTTATTTTTTCGTCTTTTGTTAAAAGCTGCCAAGCATTGAAAAAAATTTTCAACCGGCCACCGTAAATGTCAGAACATACCTCTATTTCGTGTTGTTGTGTTTGTTGTAAGGATTGTACGAATGTCTGTACTCTCGTTGTCTCTTCTGTGGTCTCTCCACCGGCCCCTCCTTTTTCCTTCCCTTGGCATACCTGCGCTGATAGTTTAAAGACGAGCTTCTTTGAACAGTGGAGCTCATAGATGCTTGAGGAAGTTTTCTAGGTATCGAAAAGGAATTTTTCATTTCTTTGCCGGTTTTCATTTGCGTCTTAACTTCTCTAAATTTCTCTGCAAAATTTTTTCCACACAAGAATTCATCTGGTTTGCTTTCCTTGACGATTTTCTTTACCGTGGAATTCAAATTGGCTCCAACATGATACTTTCTACTTGTCGAAATCATATTAAAAACACCACACATATTTTTACCCGCATCTACAATACATGGCAACAGCTGATTTCTAACATGTTCAATAGGGCAGTCTTCGTCTTTTAAAATAGTATCAATGCATTTTGATAATGCCGAAAGAGCTAGGCCTAAATGCCCCTGAATAATAGAAGAATATTTATCTTCTTTTTTACCCTGATCTGTCAAAGAAGATTCCAACTCGGGATTTAAAATAGGAGTCTTCAACCAAGGAATATTCTTAGGTATAAGATATTTCTTTTCCATTGCCTCTATTTCACTCTTCTCGACTCCTAAACTAACATACTTGCTCCAACGATCCGCAAGAGCCTGATGTACTTCGCTTCCAAATATTAAATCGCTTCCAGATGGTTCCTCCCCTAACAGTCTTAAAATTTCAGGGTCCTGCTCTGGTACTTTGGGTTCATCTTGAAGATTTACCTCCCGATTAACTTCTCCAGCATTAGTTATAATTGATTCTGGGTTTTCATTTTCAGAAGTTCCTGAAGAACTTGATCCAGAATTCGTACTGGAATCGCCTGAAAATGTTCACCATATTAGGTATATTTTAAAGCTTTATGACTTGTAAGCTAGATGGAATTACCCGAAAAAGCAAAAATAAATTATATTTACTCTCTCAGAACCATTTATAGGCGTGCTAACATTTGGAATTACCTGACATTATAGTTCAGAACCAATCTGGCATTACCCAAACACATGTTTGGAACCATTTACACAAACAAAGAAAAAATAAAGAAAAAATAAAATATTTATATTTAGTGGAATTACCCAAACTCGTTTGGAACCATTAATGCTTACTTAAAATTTTGTGTTTATGACGCCTCTTTCGTTCCAAATTCTCTAACTTCTTCCGCAACTTTCTCCTTTTTTTGTCTAGTTCACCATCACTATCACTACTATAAACTCTCTTTTTATTAGGCATTTTTATTCTGCGTACCAAATATAAACGCTCGAAAAATAACTTGCCTCGACAAAGCACAACAGTGTAATGAATGATTAATAATTATCGGCTGCCGGCCGGCGTCAGCGAATTATAGTTTTTTTAGCTTATGAGGTGTCTTTAAAGAATGTGCTCGACAAAGTCACTATTGTGTAAACTACGTGTGTATTCTAATTGGACGAGTATATCGAAATATAATACAATGGTATAATTAAAAAGAACTTATTTGTATCATTAAAAAAAAACTAATTTATTTAATCAAACTACCTAAAACAAGTTTTAATCAAATTCAAATCTGTTATACTTATAAAGAAAGTGACTTTTTTGCAAAAACAGAATCTATTGTTATTTTTACATAAGAAACAAAATAATTTATACTGTTAAAAAAAACTTTTAGAATTTATACCGCTGCCGTTCCTTAAGAAACTGTACCGAATTCTTATTAGAATTATTGTAGTGTACCATTACAGATTACCCAGATGCGAAAGTTGACAAAGAACATCAAAATTAAGAGAGAGATAAATGGCCATACCCATTTAAAGGTCCCTCGTAGCAACTCGTTTCCACTCGCGTAGTTCCGAAGGCAAAAGTTATTTCATTATGCGAAGTTGCCGATGCTCCTAAGTTTTCTGATGTTATGTGACATTGGAATTTAAGTCAAATCAAAATGTACATACATATTTCGATTTTTTAGTATGTGGTTACCCCTACATACAAATAACGTATAATTAAAATCCGCTAAACATAAAATAATACAAAACCATTTAAAGGTTTATAGTTTACATTTATCAATGACAATCAATGACACTTTAAAAAACTCGTGAAATTTTAATTTTTTATGTGACAACCTTGCTTAGGATGCTGTAAGTGAGATAACATTTCTGTGACATTCAGGACAATCAGGACCGGTCGTGACGCTTTGCGTTGTGTGCATTTTTGGAGAAAAATATTGTGTATTTGTGTCTAGTCGTCTTCTGTAGATAAATCATGAGTGAAACGAAGAATATACGTCGTGGTGTGGCATCTAGGGCACTTATAAAATGTCTTCGAATTCATAGCTGTAAATGTATGAACACTTTTCTACTGCAACTTTCGTTTTAGATAACAACAATATTTTTATACATTTGAAAGGTTATGATATCAAATCATTATTTGGAAGTCTAAAAACACCAACCGAATGTTTTTATCAGTACATTTATCAGTTGGAATATTGCAGTTTTTAAAAAATATAGAAAATTACTTACCTTGTCCCACACGTGGAAATAATTCGTATAATTTGTTTAACCTTTACCTGGCCTCGTGGGGTACGTACATACCCCACGCTCTTTCTCGTCGATTTTCGATATCTAAATCTTCGAAATCGAAACTCGTAACGACATCTATCGGTAGTCAAGGGATATACTTTTATACCTAGGCCAGTGGGATAGTGCTCTCAAAATAAATACCCATGAAAACAATTATTATTTTTATAGTGATGTAAAAGAAGAAGACAGCTAAAATTTAAGCCCTTTTTATCGAAAAACAAAAAGTTATGATTTTTTTTTGCAAAAAACGCATTTTTTTCAAGCTTTTAAATTTTCCGGATTTTTTATGAACGTTGATCTTTTTTCAACTCGAAATATTCTACAGTTTAAAGTGGTATCTAAAGAGGATCTCTGAATTTTTTTGAGACAAAATAATCAATATTTTAATTTTTACAAAGAGTTTTATCACTGGGGTTCGTACGTACCCCACGAGTCCAGGTATGTTACTCAGGATGGGCATGCCAGATGAAGGTTAATACAGTTCAAGGATTTAAACACCCTTGTCAACATTTTTCTAATGACTACTTTTTAAAGTTATTTATTCGTCTTCGAATATTTTACCTAATAAAATTTAGCAACATATATTTCAGAAATCAGCAAAAAAAAATAGAAAGGTATGTAGTTTAAGTAATGTCTTAATGAGTGCTTTAGATCTGATTCTTCATTAATTAATTAATTCATGAAGAATTTGATAAATATAAAACTAAAACCAAATTTAATGAATATTCATGAATAAATGTCCTATTTTGCATTTTCATCCAATTATACTTTACAGTTCAGAAGTATCAACCTACCAAACTATTTGTTCAATATTTGTTTTATTAGGTTTGTGGCTACAGGCGATAGAATTGTAATTTCCTGCTAATAGGGCTGTATATGCAATAAGTATTCAAACCTCAATTATTTACAAAAGTTGTATTGGTATACTTGTTAGTGATGAGTTTATATTGTATCTCAACAAACAATGAATTGCAGGGATATTGCTGGCCTTTTGCTGTAATTGAAGCAAAAATGAATGCGAGGATTAAAAAATAAAAGGCTGCTTTTGTCCTTTTAATAGTGGCCCAGCATTATGTTGGTTGATGAATGGGTGAGAGCCAGGTAAAAGTCAAGAGACTTTTAACTGCCGCAGACCCAACCCTCCAACAGTCCAGGAGGGTTATGTCCCGCGTTCATAGATGGAGACACCGATGATCACTTGCTACATACTCAACGAGTGGATTAATGGTACTATTCATTGTAATTTCTTGCTCATACATGTTATTAATTTAGAATATTTCGTGAAAATACATTTTTTAGAAAACATTTTATCTTTATTATATATTATATAGCTGAATTAAATAAAATGTCTACAATATTCTAGGTATATTGGAATGCATTCGGTTTTATATTTATACTTCAAACAGTACTGCTGGTCAAAGAAGCACAATCGAATTTTACCTGGCACATGGCCTTTATTAGCAGTCAGTATTAATATGATAAAAGGCCTGCAATTTCCCGTTAACTTTCCATCAATAGGCCACTAATTGCCAATATATTTATTTCAATACATTAAAGAGAAAACGGAGGTTTCTAACTTTTAACAAAGCCCGCTTAATAAATTTTTAAAACCTTTACATTAAAATTCGTTGCTTGTTATAACTTTTTACCTATAATAAAATTTTGAAAATATTAATACAAATCATATTCTTTTTCTTTTAAAATGTTTAAAAATGAAACTCCTATCGACAACTTTTTTAACATACTAGTGCTGCTACTATGCATTAGTTACCTAAACCAACCCTGGCATCCAAAACGCATGTTTAGAAAAAAGTCATATTTAGTAAGACTGATTGAAAATAATTAAAATTGGCAACACCTATGCTATACCCATTTAAAGGTCCAAGGTCATAGAAATCTCATTTCAAAATCCTTTGATCTTTTGCCGGGTTTCGCATCTGTTGTGGTTAATCTGTGGTACCACCCTATATAGGAAAAGTTTTAGTATTTATCATCATTTTTTGATAATTGTCATTATCATGTCATTATCATAACTGTATTGTAGTAACATATTTGGTGACCCCGAAACAGACTAACGCATCATCAACGCAAAAGAAACTAGGGAAAATGTTACCTCAAGAGGAGATAGTATTAACGAAATCAGAGTCGCTAAACTACCACTTTTTTGGACAAGCAACCCAAAACTTTGGTTCGCACAAGTAGATGCTTATTTTGAGTTATGCAAACTACGGTCGGATTCAACAAAATATTTTACAGTCATTTCCTCGTTAGACACGACAATCCTACAACACGTATGCGATCTTATCATGAAGCCAACGGAGAAAGATAAGTACGAATCACTCAAACGACATTTAATTAATAATTTTGCTATATCAAAAACAAATTAAATACGAAACTTGCTCACGGATATTGAAGTTGGAGATAGAAAACCTTCAGATGCTTCGCCAGATGAAAAATTTAGCAATGGATCGAATTAGCAAAGAAGTAATATGTAAAATTTTGGAAAGTAAAATAAATCCCTTTCAAAATACAGTTCTATTTCTCACTCCAACTCCGCTCCTTCCACATCAAACGATCACTGCCGCAGACTTGAAGATAAGATTCAAGATCTAACGCAAACATTAAAGAAACTTTAGCTAGACATTTCTCGTAGCAAGTGTCAAACCAATTTCAGGAATCGTTCCCATTCATGATCTAGAAGTAGGGCAACTAATTCAAACTTTTGTTCCAATCATTAGAGTTTTGGAAAAAAAGCTCGTAAATGTGATAAGCCCTGCAATTTCCAAGCAGATCTTCAACTTTCCGCAATTGGAAAAATATATAGCCCATTAGAAAAAGAGCAAGTGACAAATCTCTTATTAAAAACAATCTATATGTTACCTATATAAATTCTGGTATGGAGTTTCTTATCGATACTGGTGCAGACGTTTCTATTATTCTTAGATCTGGATTGGCTAAAACAGTGAAACCCACATCCTTCAATCTATATCCAGCAAATGGATCAATCGTCAATATATTTGGCTATCGACTACTAAGCTTAACTTCGACGTTCTTTGAAATAGCAATTCATAGTTGCTGATGTAACACGAGCCATTTTGGGCGCTGATTTCTCAAAACACCACGGTTTGCTCGTCGACTTACAGCAACGTAAACTAATAGATTTCACTACTATCCTGTTTTATATGACTAAATCTTTCAAATGTAAAAATAAAAGTATAAGTTCAATTAATGAAACTTCTAAATTTCATGACCTTTTGGCCAAGTTTCTTGAAATCACAAAAAGTACTCCTGTTCCTCCTGTGAGCAATCACACAGTTATGCATCATATTGTCACTAAAGGTCCTACTATTGCCCAAAGACTGAGATGTTTGTCTCTGGAGAAATTCCACATTGCCAAACTAGAATTCGACAACATGCAAGGAATTTGTCGCATTTCAAGCAGCTGTTGGGCGAGCCCTCTTCACATAATTGGAGACCGTGTGAAGACTACAGAAAACATATTTCGCGAAAAGTTCCTGACAAATATCCCAGTTGTTATATTCAGAATTTTTCTAATAGATTGGTTAGTTGTAAAATATTCAGTAAACTAGACCTAGTTCGAGTTTGTCATCAGATTCCAGTTGCTGAACCTGACATTTCGAAAACAACCGTAATCACTCCATTTGGCTTATTTGAATTTCCTTTTATGACGTTTGGCCTTTGCAATGCCTTTCAAACATTTCAAAGATTTATGAATATCGTCCTTCAGGGTTTAGATTTTACCTACTGTTACATCGACGTTATTTTAGTGGCTAGTAGGAATAAAGTAGAGCTTTAGAACATTTTAGTATTATCTTTTCACGACTGCAAAACATTGATGTTGCACTGAACATGTCAAAATGTCTTTTTGGTTTACCAGAAATAGAATATTTGGGATACCTTATTTCCACCAAGGGAAGCGAATCACTGCCAGAGCGAGTCAGAGCTATTCAGTCTTTTCCTAAGCCTAAGACAGTTAAAGAACTACGTCGCTTTCTAGGAATGCTAAATTTCTACCGACGTTTTCTTAAGCACGCGGCTCATCACCAATCTCTATCTAATGAGTATCTAAAAAATTCTACTTTGAGTCTAAAAAACATTTACAACATAATAAAAATATTATATACAGGGTAAATCTAAAAATGCACCCCGCCTTAAAAGGGATGGCTTTCAATTATTATTGTCTTCTATAGATGGAGAAGAGACTGGAAGAGGACAAATTTTTGATACTGGCCGTGTTTTGTAACCATTATTTGTCTTTATGCCATCGAATCCAGGTTTAAAGTCTACGACTCGCCCTAAATTCCACTTGGTTGCAGGTTCAATGTCTTTTTTAATCACCACCAACTGTCCCTGTTTGAGTGATCCATGCGTCTCCTTCCATTTATTTCTAACTTGCAACTCGCTAATATATTCTTTGCTCCAGCATTCTCAAAAATGCTGCTTCATCTTCTGTATTGGTTGATATACAGAAAGCCTGTTTTCCGGAATATAAATCTACCGTCGGAAACGTATATAGGGATCTGTCAATCAAAAAATATGCGGGTGTTAGAGCGATAAGGTCGTTTGAGTTGGTTGATAGGGAAAAAAGTGGTCTAGAATTTAGTACTGATTCGATTTGAACTAAAAAAGTATGCATCTCTTCGTAGGTGAATAATTTCTCACCAACTACTCTTTTCAGACGGCGTTTAACGCTTTTAATATTGGCTTTCCATAAGCTACCAAAATTAGGACCATTAACAGTTAAATTCGTTTCGCTTTTTTGTAAATGTAATTTGGCACATAGATTTGTGGTGATAAAACTTGACTGAGAGCCACAATCAAGTAAATCACGTGCTGTAGTGTTTGAATTTGATAGGCGTAACATGACAGTAGAAAGAATTCCACTTTGATTTGTGGTGTCATTTTCAGCAGCTACTGCACAAGTAGTTGATTGTGTACATCCAGTTAATTCCTCATTTTCGATATTAGTAGTATCACTATTATCAGTATTGAGGAAAGAGTTTGAGCAACTCTCTCACGATCTATGTGTAAAACACTATTATGCTTCTCTTGACAAATTTTGCACCCGCCAAATCTACAGTCTTTAGTTACATGATTAGTGCGCAAGCAATTCTCACAAAGATTGAGTTGTTTAACCTTTAATTTTCTATCTTTCACCAACGATAAAAAATCTGGCCAAAAACATATTAAATGGTCCCTTTTACAAAGGCAGCACTTACGGGATTGTGATTGATATGATTTTAATGTTTGCATATGACTTGAACCTGCCAAATGTGAATATTTCAACCCGTCACGGAGTTTGACTATATTCATTGGTTGATCTGGGTTGTCAACTTCAACCCCTTCAAAAAAATCTGCTCTGTACCTTGTAAAATTTATTATATCTTTTGTAACGGCTCGTCCCGTTTTCTATCTTTTCCATTCGTTAAAAGACTGTATATCGAGTTTCTTAACAATTGTATAAATAATTAACGAATCCCAGTGGTCAGTAGGTTCTCCTAACTGTTTTAAACATTCCAGATTATTGCTTATCGTATCAGTAAGATCGGATAGTTTAGAAGAGTTAGGTTTGACAATACTTTCGTATTCAAAAATGATTTTAATATGATTCTATATTAGTTTTTCGCAATTTTTAAATTTTTCACAAAGTGTGAGCCATGCTGTTTCATAATACCTTTCCCCAAATTGAATCGCATTAATTGTCTGAGGTGCTTTTCCCTTTAGACTCTCCTGTAGATAATGAAACTTTCGTATATTGCCCAGGTTTATATTATTATGAACAAGTGCATTGAATTTATCTCTAAATTCAATCCATTTTTCATATAAGCCATCAAATTGAGCTAACGGTATCGTAGGAAGTAAAATGTCTGGACTTCTGATATCGTTTATATCTTTCTTACTAGACAAACAAGTTAATTGTTTTTTAAATGTTGCAATGAATAGTTTCGCTTTAGATGTGACTTTATAGAACTGATCTTCAAATTCAATAAAAATTCGTTTTTGTTCCATTTTTAATACATCATCGTCTAAGCGATCATTTAATTTTTCAACAATATCATCTAAAGTATCTAATAACTTCTCAATTCTATAAAGTCGCGTTTCCGTTTCTATTATTATACCTTCTGCATCCTTATACAAAATACCAGAATCTTTGACAATTGTGTCAATCGATTTAATAAAATTGTCAAACGTTTTCAAAGAATCTTGTATTTTAGATCTTTTCCCTAATTATTTCTCGACCTCATTCATTATTAAGAGCATTTACCACCTTAAAAGACAAGAAATGATAGGTAACTGAAAATCGAATCAGTATGATCTTTGACCAGGATTTTTGACCCAGCTCCTTTCCGTAACTTCGTATCGCTTTGTTTCGCTTAACCCTCGACGTATATTTTGCTTTTTCGTATCCGGGCTCGTACAGGACGAAATGGAATGGATTGATTGTTTGGGTTTTTGGACAAGACGTTTATTTTTAAATTAAAAATTCGAATAATTACAATTAATTTTGCCATGAAAACATAATAAAAATGTTATATACAGGGTAAATCTAAACAACTGTCTTACCATAATCGATCGCTTTACTAGATGACCTGTAGCAGTACCAATAGAGGACATTTCTGCAGAGATAATTGCAACAGCATTTTACGCAAACTGGATATATATTTTTGGCTCACCTTGTACAGTTACTACAGATCAAGGTTTTGAGTCCTCACTTTTTTCTAGCTAAGATAACTGGAACTCAAAGGAGAAGAACCATAGCATATTATCCTTAATCGAATGATATGCTAGAACGGTGGCATAGAACCCTTAAAAGTGCGATACTTTGTCATCAAACCGAAAAATGGGTAGACATACTCCCTACAATTCTGCTGGGACTAAGGACTTGTTTTAAAGAAGACCTGCAGTGTTCTACTGCTGAATTGGTTTTTGGAACGCAGATTAGAATCCCAGGAGAATTTTTTCTAGGCCGTAGTAACTATTGTAATGAAGCAGTTCCTGCAAGCCATTTAAGGGAACAAATAAAAAAATTGCGCCCTGTTCCTACCGCAGTTCACAAACAGAGTTCCTGTTTCATGCATTCTGATCTCAAAAAATGCAGCCACTTTTTTATACGAGACGATTTAGTTAGAACACCCCTGAAACCTCCATTTTTAGGCCAATTTAAGGTTTTGTCTCGTTTTGACAAGTTTTTCAAGTTAGATGTAAATGGAAAAGATAAGAACATATCGTTAGATAGAATTAAGCCAGCATTTTATACTACGGAACATCTTATACTTTGCCCTCCGGTAATCAATTATAAACCAACGGAGATAAGAAAACATATTTCGAGACGTTAGCACCTAACGGTATATCTGGGGAGGGGGTAGTGTAGGGTACCACCCTGTATATCGCCAGATAGTTTTTCTATAAAATAAAATAGGTATATTAAAAAGGTATGTAACTTTATTGCAACAGTACCGCATAGAATCAAGAGAAAAGTATCCTTCTGCACAAGCAGAATCAATAGTTAATTCTGCAATTAAAGTAACATAATTTGTACCGTTAAAATAAAAAGTTTTAGAACAAAATGTAGGAGTTACTATTGATTCTGCTCATGCAAAATAATACTTTACTCTTGAGTCTAATATGCGATCAGCATAGTTTCTATAGGAACGACAGGAGTACACATTCTGAAACTTAATATTTTAATTATACAAATAACGTTGCTTTAAATGTGGAAGTAACTATTGATTTTGCTTGTGCAGAAGAATACTTTACTCCTGAACCTAATATAAGTTCAGAATAGTTTCTATATGAACGACAGGGGTGTAAATTCTTAAACTTTATATTTTAACGTTACAAATTGTTACTTTTATTGCAGGAGTAGCTATTAATTCTGCTTGTGCAAAAGGATAGTTTACTCCTGAACATAATATAAGTTCAGGTTAGTTTCTATAGGAATGGCAGGGATACAAATTCTAAAACTTTATATTATAACGTTACAAATTATGTCACTTTTATTGCAGAAGTAACTATTGATTCTGCTCGTGCAATAGGATACTTTTCTCTTGAGACTAATATGAGTTAGGGACATTTTCTATAAGAACGGCAGGGGTACAAAATCTGAAACATCATATTTTACCGGTATAAATTATGTTACTTTTATTGCAGGAGTAACTATTGATTCTGCTCTTGCAAAAGGATACTTTTCTCTCGAGCAAAAAATGAGTTCAGGATACTTTATATAGGAACGGCAGGCGTACACATTCTGTAACTTTATATTTTAACGATACAAATTATGTTGCTTTTAATGTAGAAGTAACGATTGATTCTGCTCATGCAAAAGGATACTTTAATCTTGAGTCTTGTATGACGTCAGGATAGTTTCTATAGAAACGATAGGGATATCAAATCTGAAACTTAATATTTTAACGGTACAAATTGTGTTAAGAAGTAACTATTGATTCTACTCGTTCAAAATAATACTTTACTCTTGATTCTAATAGATATTCGGTATAGCTTTTTAAGGAACAGCTGGTGTGTACATTCTGAAAGTTTATATTTTAATAGTACAAATTATTTTGTTTCTTTGACAAGGGGGGTAGCCATGTGTGAGTTGAAGTAATTTTAAGGTGAAGGGGGGAGAAAAAGTCCTTTATATCTCACAAGGAAAGTCCAATGTTTAATTATTCAACAAAACATTGAGTGCGACCGGTTTCGAAGTAACATCACTTCATCTTCAGGCTCGCCTAGTGGAAAGGAGAATATGTGGTGTAAGGTGTGTTGACTTTGAGCCCACAATATATATAGT